TTGTCCCGGCAACACTGTGCCAATTACTTGGCGAAGTACGCCGCTAAGCCTGAGAAAAAGTCTAAAAGCATGCAGGAGCTTTTCCAGGATGCCATGCAGGACCTGGGGGACGACGAGAGCGCGCGCAAGGCCATCCAGAGGCGCTGCGTGCAGTCAATCAGCGAGCGCGACTGTTCCTCGCAAGAGATCATCCACCTGGCAACGTCCCAGAAACTGTTTCACAGCTCGCGTAACTTCGTCAAGGTAAACTTTTACAGTAATGACTGGGTGTTGTCCGGAAGGCGTGCGCAGGACGGCGAGTCCCACGACGAGGGGGACGACCCCAATGACGGTCCAGCCGACGGGGATGGCGCCGAGCAAGGGGTCGACAACGAGGAGCCTGGTGATGACCGGGGAAACCACTCCGGGTCTCTCCTCGAGCGCTACCCAAAGAGGCCCCGCCACCTTGAGGACGTCACACTGTGGTCCTTCGCGAGGGACTACAAATTCAACCGAACGACTAAAAGGTAGGAATAATTAAATGCCTAATTGTGAGGACGAAGGAAGTTGTAGGTTATAATTATTAACATGAGAACAAGTTAATATTACTAAATATCCGAGCCTTTCTTCGGTAATGTTTTTGTCATGACGACAATACCGTGGCTAATTTTTAGTACAAGCGTGTCGTCAACGAAGGGGAAATCTCGAGGGTTCGTAGCGTACGGGCTATTTCGTGGTATTTCTTCTGCCATTTCTCTCATTTCTCAACCATTTGGGATTATTTCCAGGTAAAACGGAGTATTTCAGGGGTATTTCGCGAATATTTCACCGACTATTTCTCATCTTTTTCGGGTCTTTTTCGCTGTACTTCGCCTTTATTTCGGATTATTTCGGGGAAAGGTGTACGCACTATTTCGCAAGTGATTTCCCCCTCTGTCGTAATGGGTTTTTTTTGGTCATATGACAAGGGTTCTCTTGTAAAAAAAAAAACAAGCAGGCCCGCCCTTCCGCCAAACGGAGTTGCCAGCTCCACTTCGCTGCGCCGGCAACTCCGTTCGGCAGGGGCCGGGCCTGCTTGGCCTGCCGGCGGCGATGGTCGGGCCTTCGGCCCGACCATTTCAGTCTTTCGCTTTACTGAAGTGCATAATCAAATAAATAATGTGACCCGTAAATCACTTCAATTGAGTAAACTAACGCGTCCGGTCGGGGGCCTGCGGCAATAGAAATTTGCTCCTTGGACATGACAAAAAAGACTGTAACGGGGCAACACCGTGACTACACCCCACCCTTCTGCTTTGCTTAAGAATAAAAAATAAACACGCTCAGATTGTATATTGTAAATTGTATATTGTTTGCCAAACAGTCTTAAAACTTGACTTTTTAGCCCGCCCTTCTGCTTTGAAAAAGCTATCCAGCGGGCTTATGCAAACGACCTCTTGTCTGTCTGTGTGTCTGTCTGTGTGTCTGTCTGTCTGTCTGTCTGTCTGTTCCACTAGAAGGAGATGTGCTAGAGACTTCAAATTTTCAGGGTACCTTAAGGTTCACTCCTAGAAAACGAAACGAAACGAAACCCCAAGGGGCTCAAAAGGGGGTATCAAAGGAAAGGGGGTAGGTCAAAAAAGTCAGAATGTTTTTTTTTTATGAGCTCCTAAGGGGTAACTCATCAAAGTAGAGCCCTACGACCAAAAATTTCGTCCGTTTTGCTCTATATCTCACCGTTTATGCGCGAGAGGGAGTTTCTATCACGAAAGTGGCCCAAAAATAAATTTATTAATTTTGGAAACTATTGGATGGTCTCCTAAGGGGTAACTTGTCAAAGTAGAGCCCTTTGGGCGAAAATTTCGTCCGTTTGGCTCTATCTCTAACCGTTTAGGCGCTAGAGGGTCTTCTTTGACGAAAATAAGTTAAAAATTGCTGTAGTGAACAACTAAATGGAAAAGAAGGCCCAGAACCGCAAAAGAGGTAAGAAACTCCCTCCCCCCACTCCAAAAAACGTTTTCTAAGCAGA